ATTTACACGCACGAGCATTATCACACGAGCTTCGCTCCTCCCGACCGCAGACACAGGTTTACAAGCCACTTTTTCCTGCGTTTTTCAATCAATTTCTTGACTTTTCCCCACTTATGAACAACACATTTTCGTACACGATAAAAGCTCCTTGTGGTTTCTCGGTTTGGCCAATTTAAGCATCCATAAACACTGGCATTTTGAGTTTCTGCTAGTGATTCCTATGGAGAGAAAAATCACTTCCTGTCCTCCAGCTGCATTTCGCGCGTCATCAGTGACGTCATGTGCAAACAACCTATTCAGTGGACAATTAATAGAAATGTTATTCTATGTAAAGAACATGTGAGAATAAATCTGTTCTCAAATACCAACGATAACAAGAACTCCGCATCCACTCTCTTCTCTTATCCGGGATACTCTTCTTCTGTGTTTGTTTACACTGGCTTTCGAAACAGCGCCACCACTCTTGCCTTTTTGTGCAACAGCAGCTGCTCCGGTCACGTGATCCTAGCTCAAATCTTATTGGACGGCCCGTGTTTTCGCTTTGCGAAACTGAAAAGATTCGTTGAACTGGTTTGAAAAAAAAAAAAAAATTTGCATTTTTGTTGTGCGAATGTTCGCGGTCTATGTGGAAGCATCCATATAAATCTATTGTTTTATTCCAGCATGTCATCGCGGCTGATATTCGTTTAGCTTTTTCACACTCAGTGGGGAAAGACATTAAGAGTGTTAATTTTGTCAAACAGTATAAATGATGTCTAAATGAGACTGCGGTTATCCCTATAAGATGTTGAAAATACATCCACAAGGACTACATCTGAACTAAATTTTAACCATCTAGAGAAGTCATGTGGACGTCAATATAAGACATTCAGAAGATGTCATAGAAAGACGCCCTCAGGGGAGGTCATTTCAACGTGCGACAAAGATGTTGAAAAGACGTCTTTTGGATTTAATTTTGCTCATTGGGTATTTTGTGATAAAGACCAACTGGATGTACATTGTCACACACTGACTGAATATTTACAAAATATAGCCTACAAGGGTGGGATGGGATCAGGACATGTGATTTAGCTAGTTAACCATTTTGTGTTAATGGCTCTCATATCATTTCAGGCATATGCTAAGAACACACTTAAGCAGAAGTGTCAACGCAGGACTATTTAATGGATTATGCATTCTTTTGTGTGGTCGAATTGTGGTAAGTTATTTACTTTGACAGTCTTGCAATATGTAAAGAAAAGGTAGTTATTGTAATATGTTTGAAGTGTCTGTTAAATTAGTCCCAAAAAGGCCATGTCTCATTCTGAAGGTGTTCACTAACAATAACAATGTCAATAACACCTGATGTACTTGTTACATCGTAAAAAGTATGGCAGCTACGCTAATATTAGTCTGTTTCATTCTTATTCCGAGGTCACCGTAGCCACCTGGACCCAGTCTGTATCCATATCAGATGGTCACTGCAGTCACCTGGATCCAGTCCAGATGGTGGAGACAACTCTACAGCCTTGAATGTCAGCAGAGACCATGTCAACTAATTGAGCCCCAAAGACAGATCCCCAGTGAAGGCCTCATCAACTATACGGCCATTGGCACAAAACCTCAACAAAGACCACGATGAAAAACACCATGTTGGTTCATCTGGCCAGAGGAGAACTGGCCCCCCGACTGAGCCTGGTTTCTACCAAGTTTTTTTCTCCATTTTCTGTCGCCTTTGGCTTGCTTATTTGGGTACACTTCATTTTTGGGAATAATCCTGTGAATGCAGTTCAGTTCTCTTCAAATAGTGTCTCTGCAATCAAGTCGTTAATGACTTGATTGCAGAGACACTATTTGAAGAGAACTGAACTGAGCTGGATGATGATGACATCACTGAATCAACGATTAACTGACTTTAACTTAAATATTGACTGTTTACTTTTGTCCTTTTTTTAGAGCTGCTTTACTGCATAACTGAATTTTGTTCACATTATTGACACTATTTTCCTGTTTAACAATGTAAAGCTGCTTTGACACAATCTGTATTGTATGAAGTGCTATATATAAATAAGGGTGAGTTGACTTGCTTTTGACAATTCTTCATAGAAATGTTTGTGTGCTGTCCGTTTTGAACAATTTTGTATTTTTGAGAATTGCATTAGTAGCCTTCAATTTGAAAGAAATCAGTAAAATAAGATTACATCAAATCAGTCTCAAGT